AACTCGGGAGTCAGGAACGCTAGAAGGCTGAAATTTTAAGGGGGTGTTTCGTGACAGTTCTGGCGGCCAGTCCTAATTTGTTTAGCTAGAAGCATTTGCCGGAAAAACCGATGCCGGCAGCGACCAAAACTGCGGGGAACTATGCAAAAAAACGCATCTTCGCACCGGCAGCCCGTGCGTTAGCCAATTATTTGTATCTGTCAATGCAAAAAACGCACATTGTCGGACGGTATGCTGTGTGCGTGTGTGTATATGTGCGTGTTTGAGTGTGTGTGTGTACGTGTAATGTACGAGTACGTGTATTTTGATCCGCACATTTTGATCTTGAGACCTATGAAAGCCACAAGTTGAAACTTTGTCGGCTTAGATTACACCTATATATAGGTCCCTAGGGGTAAAGTGAAGACACTTTGGAAGATGTCACTTGCCCGTGTTTGGCCGGAAAAATTTGAATTCAGCCTTCAAATACTCCTGGAGCACAAGTATAAATGCACCTAATTCCGAAATTTTTGCCAACGTGCCAACATTTGGAATGCTGTTGAGAGCTGCAGTCTGAACAAGGCCAGTTACAGATTTGGGTAAGCGCACATGAAAGCGAAATTTGCGTTCATTTCTTACGTGTAAACACGCAAAATTTTACATAACTTCGCAATAAAAGCTGCTAGAGTGCTAGAATTTAAACATGGGACATAATCATGTTTGTTGGTAATCCTCGTGACAGTGACCTTATCGTGACGGCTATTCTCAAACTGTAGAGCTAGAAGGACTTTCCGGAAAAAGCAAGCTACTTAATAAATTGGAGAAAACTTTGCAAAAACGCACACTCGCACCAGCAATACTGGTGCGAGCATGCGTTTTTAGATTAATACGTGCAAAGGCATTTTTGTTTCGTTGAATAATCTTCCTTTTTCTTCTTACCTTTTAGTATCTTTGAAAAAAAAAAACTGCCACACTTTTAGGAAAAGACGGATATATTAAATTCGATGAAGGTACGAGCTCGCCTAGTGCAGGAAGCATATGGCGCTCTCGAGGGCATAAGCTGCAGACCGATTCAAGGCGCAATGTACGCGATGCCGAAGATCGAGTTGCCCCGAAAGGCCGTGGAGGCAGCACAGGCCCGAAACATGCAGCCAGATTTTTTTTACGGAATGCAACTTCTAGAGAAAACTGGAATTTGCACTGTGCCCGGTAGTGGCTTTGGCCAACGCGAAGGCACGTGGCATTTCAGGTCATGGTAGTTCTAATTCTATTATATTTCTGTGCACGCTGAAAGCACATGCATATATGCAAATGTCTCACATACGTGTATGCCTCTTAGAATAATTCAGATCTAAAGAAACTCAGGCTACAACTTACCACGTTTGGCGCTGTGCCTATGCGTTTTTGCCCAAGGATTGCAGATCGATAACAATAGGAATGGTTTCTGCGCCATAGTTTAACACTTGGACTCATCAGCTGCGCTTTGGTTTTTTGCCGCATAAGGGGGAAGGGGTGGAAACAGAGAATACCCCTACAAATTTTCAACTTTTTAATCTTACCTAGTTCACGAAATCGTTTCCCGCCAAAAAAAATTTACATATTTCTTCCAATGGTCCGTAGCGATATCTAGCGCGTATAACTGAAGGCTTTAAAACCGGAGAATGACACATGGGGTGGGAATATGTCCCCAAAGTCTCAGCCTCCCAGCTTTCTTGGCTACTGATTTGAAAGTGGATGACAAAGTCCACACGTTTCCGAACGCAGACGCACACGGACGGCCTCTCGACAATAGCGCGTTTTTGCTGTGCAGCGCTGTGGCGTTGCTACAGCGAGCAAAAACGCAGGTTGTCGAGAGGTCGTGTGTGTGTATGTTCGCGAGCGAGCGAACCTTGTCACCTACTTTCAACTTAGCAACCAGGAAAGCTGGGAGGCTGAAATTTTGGGTATATGTTCCCATCCCGTGTGTCATCCTTTCGTTTTAAATTCTTCACTCATATGCGCCCAGATTTCGCGCACGGACCCTTGTAAAAAATATGTAAATTTCTTTGGCAAAAAACGATTTCGCGAACCAGGCACGGTATAAAGCTAAAACTTTGCAGGGATATTCTCTGTGCATGTGCGAGCTAAGTAATTCAAATTCAGCTGCCGCACACGCTTGCGCAGCGCGTACGGTCATGTCAAAGTTTACAACTGAAACTGTGCTAACTCGTAAACTAGCCGGAAAACAGCAGCTGAAATTTTGCCAGCATACTTATCGCCCCCGCAGAAAATAGCATGCTTAAAATGAACTCCGATTTGCAATTGCATCACGACTTAGGGCACTTCAAAGATATTTGTAGCGAAGTGGCTATTTCGTTTACACGATAAGGTGCGAGGTTGAAACCTCGCTGCAATATTCTATTTTCATGCCTGGTCTTAATTCTGGTTGGAGGTGAAATACCCTGTAGCTGGTTATGACAAATACTCAGCTTCACCGCAAACTCAGAAACGAATGCATTTTGCAGTGAACGTCAGCCCTCATCCTCTTCCAACATCCAGTTCATTTACATATTTGGATTTTTTGACAAACGGCCGCTAGTTTATGCGTTTTTGCTGCGCAGCGCTAGAGCGCTGCAACAGGCAGCAAAAATGCATATTGCAACGACCCTGTCAGTGTGTGTATGTTTGTGTGTGTGTGTGTTCGTCTGTCCGGGTGTTTCAACTCGCTAACCGCGCAAGCTTTGGAGCTGAAATTTTGCCTGTGTCTTCCCCAGCCAGGTACCACCCCAGGG